ACAAATTTGACCGAAATGAAATATTTTCGCGTTTTCACACTGAATTTCAATTGGTAAGGATAATTATATGTTTTAGGTGGAAGAAAGGAATTCTCATCACGCTTCTCAATTATACAGTAGCACAAAGCATACATCTTAAAAATTTGCAAATAGAAATCACGCCATCTTCTGGCCACATATTTTAGTTACTGGAAATAGTAAAACTCCTCATCAGGAATGAAAATCGGAGGTTTCAAGTAGAGCAGAATCTCGTAAAAACGCTCAGATAGTAGATCATTAAATCGATCTGACCTAGTAGAACACATGCTCCTGGACGAACGTGGCATCAGTGTCGAGTTTTTTGACAATTTCGATGATCACGAGAATCTCACAATCACGTATATACTCAACAGATACAGAGTATGTGAGGTTTGATAGATGTATAGATATGCTGGCAGATGATGTAGCCCTAGCACGATTGAAAGTTGGATCAACACATGGAGAATGCGTGATTAAAAAACATCACGTAATGGGGTTGTTAAAAACAAGGATCTTTTTGAGAGAATTGATATTTTAACTTTTAACAGAATTGGCAAGATTTACTTTACTTATATTCCGGAACATAAAGGCGTGATCGAGAATAAGAATACTGATAGATTGGCTAAAAAAGATGCAACAATTAGCATGCATGAAAAGAAAAAATTATCACCATATAATAGTTTTATGAAATTTAATCTCCCAATAATTAAAAGAAATAATCCAGAATTAGATCATAATGCAGCATTTAAATTAGTAGCATCCATGTGGAAAGATTCGATTAACAATCCAAAAAATGATTTTACCAAATATTTGTAATTCAATATTTTTACTCTGTATATATTTTATTCAAATAAATCTTTATGCATACATTTAATCTAAACTTGTAAATGGTAATTTGAAATGAGATAAGCATTAATTTCGTGGTCTAAAAAGCGACGAAATTCATGCCATCGAAATGATTCAACTTTGTGAGATATGCCGTGAAATGAGATAAGCATTAATTTCATGGCCTAAAAGGTGACGAAATTCATGCCATCGAGGCATCAGGGCATATCGTAACAAATGTTGCGGCAGAAAAAAAAGCTTTGACACTTTCACTGAAAGTGTGCCCAAGCGGCGAGCGTCGGGTACGGCAATCAGTATAGTAGGATATAAGCCATGGGGCCAGTCGAGTTCGCAGGCCGAAAGCCTATAGTGAACTCGACTAATTATATTAGTTTCACCATTTTTTAAGAGTTAATTTTATATAATACATACATATTTTTTAATTTGATAAATTATTATTTTTTTATTTTTATTTTTATATTTTTTTTATGGGTGATTCTGAAAGGTTATTCTAAAGGTTGTATTCATATAGTACCAATGGATGTTGTTCATAGGAAAAATTACTTTCATTTTTTATATTTTAAATATATTTATTTATAATATTTTTTAAAAATATTGGGTTGTACAATATTATTTTAAAAATCTGATTTGATAATAAATGTTTTTGTTATCGAATTTAAAAGAGTATTTTTTGAGTGCTCAGAGCTAAGTTTGAATGAACATTTTGAACAGAAAATATGCTGGCAATAAGTATTTTTTATATCCAAGTTGGTAAAATTAAATGGGTCTTCAAAGCAAAATGGTTTCTGTTTACAATTTATAATTTTACAGTATGGAATCATTGTACCACATTCGAACGAAAAATCTATCCTAGTACATCTTTCACAAAAATCTTTTTGTATCTCATCTTTAAATGTTTTTTCATAAATGTAAACAAAATTATTTCGTAGTTTACAATATGGGATACCAAACTTGTTATATAAAATTTTACATTTTTGTATTGTGTTTGTTCTTCTGTCTTTAAAATATACTCTTTTGCCTTTAAAATATACAAATCCATTTTGAATATGATCAATTTCATAAAATAGCAACTCTTGAGTTAATTTTTGATCTTTTTTATACAATCAGAAGAAAATATGTCATTTGGAATTAATATCTCTTCTTGTTTTCAAGCTTCTAATATAAAGATCGTGAAATTTTTGACAAGTTGTTTTAATTTTTTCTCTTTGTTTTGGTGACAATATTTCAAATATGTATAGTAAAATATCATTATTGAGTTTTTCCATTTTTTGCTTTATTTTTAATTCATTTTACCTTTTTATATTTTTATTTTTGTTAATCTCTTGTTTTAATTTGGTAAATACCTGATTATAATTATATCAATGTTCTTATTATTGATAACAAAGAATGATACTAATTACAATTAACAGTAATTTATTTCAATACGTTTGGGTTTAGTACAAGTTATTTATTATAATAAATAAAAAAAAAACAAAAAAATTACATGATCAGTTTGGTTTTTACAATTTGATTGTTTTGTGTAAACATTATTTTTTACATCCGAATGCTTGTACCCAAGTATCATTTTTTAATGCGGCACCGAAATAAATATAATCTTTATTAATAATTTGTCTTTTATGTCCTTCTGATTCCATCCAACCTTGAATTGCTTCTTTTTCACTTTCATAATATTGACCGAGATTTTCTACCCAATATATTCCAGGAATTTTTTTACGCGTGTCATCAATATGATCAAAAATTTTTTTTCTATCCAAATAATTAACATATTCTTCTGCGGCTTCTACTAATTGACGAAAAAAAAATTAAAATATATTTTAAAATCAATTAATAAATAAAATGACTTACTTATTTAATACAAGTTTTTTAAGGCCAAGTTTTACTCATTCATCATTAGTATATTTTAATAAAAGATTGATATCAATTTCTTCTTTAGCATGAAGTTGACCAAAAATTGACACCCAATGTCTATTTTTAAAAGAGGCACCAAAATGATTATATTTTTTATCTAATAAAATTTTTTTATATTCATTTGTTTTTAATAATTCATTTACAACTTCATTTTCATTGTTGGCATTATAATATTGTTGGTTATAATCATAAAAATTTTTAGGCTTATTATTTTCAGCAAATTTATTAGTTAAAGAAATTTCTTTCACATCTTTACTTGCGGCATTAATTAACTGGGTATTCCATTCTAATTTTTTTAAATTATTTTTTTTACGAATATTATTTAGCTTATCAAGTAAAGCATCTATCATTTTTTTTTAAGATTTGATTTTTTTTTAAAATATAGATAGGTGAAGATTTTTTGGCCGTGTTAAAAAATACAACAAAAAATATCAGCGATTCCTGAAAGGAATCGCCCTACTTATTTGTTTGATTTATATTGTTGTTATGTATACATTTAAATTTTTCTAAAAATTATAATATGTGCGTTCATCAATCACGATCAGGATTAAAAAACACTTTTGCTATGTATAATGCATATCCAAACACCATCCAGCCAAGATGCAGATAACCCCAACCAACCAAATCTATAACAACTAGTAGATGCAGCCACTTATCAAATCGGTAAATATTTTCTAGTATGCCAACTCTGAGGAGTATGAGAATGAAAGTTACTATAAATGTACATATTGTGCAGTAAAGGTTTTCATTGCATAGATTGTAGAGATAAAGGCTAAGACGGATTGCGCCTTCGAACTGAGCTCCTGCAGCTATTAATTTTAGCTAATAAATATGTAAAGTAAATGATATGTATTTATTAGTATAACTACTAAAAAAAATATACTTACAAACATTATTTGATTTAAGGTTAAAAAAAAACAAAAGGATTATGAATGGTTTGTTCTTTTATTACAAATCATATTACACAAAATATGCTAATCTTATAAATTGTGATGAGTGATGAATGAGGTGATTCCTTTCAGGAATCACTGATATTTTTTGTTGTATTTTTTAACACGGCCAAAAAATCTTCAACCACCACCACTACCTCTATTTTTCTACTTTATAAAGGTAAATATCTATCATGGCAACTGTAGAACCTAATAACGAAGAGCAAGTTAATATTGGCAATAATAGTAGAATTTGTAATAAAGCAATTGGAGATTTCAATCGATTAAAGAAGGCGTATACTCTTCTTTATCAACAAAATCAACGTTTGATATCTGAAAATGAATGTTGGAAAACTGCGGTAGCTGAGTTTGGTGAGGCTGTTAAAAAAAATATGGATGAAATGGGTAATAAAATAATTGAAAAGATTGAGGGTATAGATTTGGGTGATGGCGATGATGATGATGGTAATGTTGGGACCGGTTCACGTAGAAGAATTGATTATGATGAGATTAAAAATCGATGCAAGCAAGCGTGTAGCGAAGCATTGGAAGAGGTTCAGGATTTTTTACCAACCCTATCATCTGACGTGGGAGGGTTGCTAGATCAAATGCCACCCCCTTCAGAAACGTTAACCCCCCTACCGGAAACAGATTCATAGTGAAATTATTTTTACATGATGTATTAATTGTTTTTTTATTTCTTTTTATTTTAAGATATTTTTATCAAGACTCTGATTATTATTGTGTGAAATTTTAAATAATGTATGTTTTTTTTTGTTTTTTTTTAAAAATTTGTATTTTTTATATGTGAGATTAACAAATAAATTTAGGAGTAATAAAAGTGATGCCGCAATTTAAAAATTTGGACAATTGACCGGTGCATATGCAACTTTACAAAAAGAAAATAAATTTCTTCATGACGCAATAAAGAAACAGCTTGATGCAATTAACAAAAAACTTGATACGGACGCTTTAGCTACGGCATTAGCCAATTTACTTAAACCAGAATTGGAGTCGTCAAAAGTAAATTATAATACTGTAAAACAAAAATATAAAGAGGCATTAGAAGAAACACAAGACTTTTTAGATAATATACCTACTAATGTTGATGCTTTATTAAAGGCATATCCTGCAACAATATCTACTTAAAACATCTAGTTCCAACTTATCAAATTCCATTGTTGGTTCTAGTTAGCTTATTTAATAAGTTCTAGTTCATAATATATATTTATTGTAATTATTTTTGCAAAATTATATCATATTTTGATAAATACCAAACAATTTTATTAAATTTTCGAATAAATTATATACTTTTATTTTTATATAATAATAAATATATTTATAAAAAAATTACATAAATTTATAATTTGTAAGATTTAATTGATTATATAAATGATATAATAAACTTTTTACAGTCCACCATCCATTTTGGTGCGTATGCGGTCTTCTACATTCACAATATGGAATCTCCCAATCTGGATGATATTCGATATCTATGCTTCCTTCGTTGTTTGTATTATCTGTTTGAATATATTTTACTCGTTCTTCAAACAGAGATTCTTTCCATTGCAACGCAAGGTTTACTACTTCATTAACAGTGGGATTTTTTTTTAAATGTTCTGCAATTTCTTCCCAGTGTTCTTCTTTAAACAAACGAAGATATCAAAATCCATTGTTTTCAGGAGATGCGAATGAGTTGACTATTTTTTGCTTTGTTTTACTAGATAGTTTTCGAATAGTTTTTTTTGAAAATGATTTATGAGTTGCAGGCATTTCTTTTATATATTTTTTTAGTAATTTCAAAAAATTTCAAGTAAATTTTAGTAATTCCGTGTATTAGACCGGCTTCATTTTTAAACAAATAAATTTGGAATCTCTGAATTTCTGATGTTATATAATTTTCCAAATATAATAATAGTACGAAATTTTAATAATCAATATTTTAATAATTTTCTTACCATAATTTTTATTGAACTTAGATGTTTGTTTAATATTTCTATTAAAAAATTAATATGAAACTTAATTTATTTGATAGATTTTCTTTTGGTAAAGTGAATTTTATTAAATATAATTAGAGAAAATTGTTTTACCTTGTCGTAACTCATTATAATTAAGACACTATAATGAACCACGACAAGGTAAAACAATTATTAATTACAACAGTTGATGAAAAAAACTGCTATGAATTTATGAATTAAATCACTTCGCATATAATATTCGAAGTAATTAAAATAAAATAATTTTTTACCTTTATGTCAATCAAAGGTGATGTTAATGTTGTATCAATAACAAGCCTATCGATTTAGCTATTTAGTAATTGTCTGAAAAATATTCTCACCGAGAGTGCATGCACTCTCAATTAAAGGAATAAAATAAAAATATTTAAAAATAAAAAAATAGTAAAAACAAAATAAATAAACTAAAGAAAAATCGCTAATCGATTTTTTTATGAACAATAAGAATTAAAAATAAATTAATTATTTTTAAAGATCTTTTGATCTTCTAAGTATTTGTATACAAATTTTTGTATACGCTCAATATTTTGATTCCATTGTTGAATTTTTACATCAACTTCGGCAGCTTCTTTATGAAGTTGATAATTTTCTCGAATTGTATCATATGTCCACCAAAAAGTAAAACAAAATAAAATAAAAATAATAAAA